ACCATATGGTTGCTTTTTGGTTTTGAAGCTCTTCCCAGGTGACCCTATTTTGGACTCCCCCCGATTTCAGGGACCCCCTATTAAAAAGTATGCGGCCGGTCTTTTAATATGTGGACAGGATTATTTCCAAATAAGACATGATGTCAATTGACAAGCTTTGGGATGCCATGAACAGCAGGTACCAACCACGGATACCAGTACCAAGCCATCCCAAGGTGTCAGATCGTTTGTGTCTCATACCCGCATGATGATGATGATGATGATGATGATGATGATGATGATGGTGATGATGATGATGGTGATGATGATGATCGTGATGATGATGATGGTGATGGTTAGTAAAGGTCTTTCTCTAAAACAAATAATTGTCTACCGACTGTTACAGGTCATAGGAGTACACATCGGCAATTCCAACAGCGCCCATGGGAGAAATGGCCGGCCACAGGTCCGCCTCTGAACGGCCGGCCACAGGTCCGCCTTCGCCCCAACGCCTTCGGTGGTCGCAAGAGGAGATCGTGGTATGCCATACCATTCATACGTTGGACATTTTGTATGTTTATAGTACCGGTTCTTATAGGGTCATGTCTCATTTTCTAGAGTACTTTAAAGTCGGGTCCAGGGACGATCTTTCTTTTTTCAGTTGGTTTGATGTCAAAATGTCAAAATGTGTCAAGCTTCTTTAGACTTCAAACTGCCGACAACCAGGCATTACAATCTGTCTTGATATTATAATGTCATGTCAACCGGATTTGATCGAATGTATCTGATGCAAAGTAAACAAAAATAAACAGGCGTGCTTCGTGCTTGACAAAACTCTACGATTGGCGGATCCCATGCATACTCAGGTAAACAAAGATCCAATCGATATGAACCAAATCCATCAAAATCCGACACTGTCGCACATTGCAGAATTCAGGATGGATTTATCTATTTCTGTTTGTCTGACCATAAATGCACGCGGTGCATCGCATCTCTTTGCATGCGTTATGGTCGGGTTCACGGGCAGCTTTCCCAGACTACCTGGAAACAACAAAAACACCTCCTAAATGTTGTGGTTGCAATGTTCTTCCAGCCCAGAATGGCGCTCCACCTGCTTCCATACCCGCTCAAGAAATACGATATAAGTTAAGATTCATGCACGTCGACGGATAGCCAAAAGAGTTGTTTCCCCAATCTTGAGTTTTCTTGCGAGCAGTCCCTTGGTCCCCATATGTCCCCATCTTAATCCTCAAATTCACTGTATAAAGGAGCTTTCAAGCAAAGCTGCAAGCCAGGAACATGCCTATTCTACTTTAAAACACGAGTTCATTGGCGCGTTGGGCCAGTGGAGTTCGGTAAGTTGAGTTTGCAAACAAGTGTGAGAAATCGCGGACAGGTGTGAGTTGAGTTGGGGGTTGCTGACAGGTGTGAGCGGAGTTGGTCGAAGCTGGGTTAACATGTTGTGAGTTGAGTTGGGGTGGGCTGAGGAGGAGCCACCACCCTGAAACGCAGAAAGCAGCGGAGGAGCCGCGGCGACCCGGGTCGCCAACGCAAAGCCGCAGAGTAGCAGAATGCTGTGGAGGACAGTAAGTTGAAACGACTACGTTGGTGTAAGTTGGTATGAGTCATTTGGTATAAGCAATTGGTATGGAGTATGTCAGTATGTTGGTCGACCAACCCAACACGCCAGGAGTCACACTGGTTTGGTGTCTCCGAAGCGACACTCGATGCGAGGATCTTGGGGGGGCACCCAACTCCTTCTGAAAAGTTGTGAACGGCACCTAACTCCATGGAAATTGTGGATAGTGACATTACATGGACCCCAAACAAATGAACCATCACCCCAATGTAGATCAATGCCGAACCATCAAGAAGCCTCCTTTTCCTTGGTCTTAGTCCCCCAAGCCTCCCAAAACCGCAGTGGTGAAGCACCCACAACCCACGGCCTTTGCAGGTCAGTGAGGTGCATCAGCGCCGCCTCCGTAGCTGCAGGGTACTTCTTGCCCCAGCCGTGACGGCGGGGAGGTAGAAGACTCCCGCAGAATAGGCATTTGGGATTGTAAGGGCCTGAATTCATGGGTTGAAATACATATCATCACGAGTCTACAGAGTCTACAGTCATCAAATGTCAGTATTATATAGATATTATGGGTGGTGTTCAACCCATTTCAACCCGCCAAGGCCTCGATGTAGCGCTTGAAGCTCTTCTGCACCATGATGATGGGATCCTCCTCGTGAAAGTCCCATTCCCGCACGGGGCAAAAGTGGCGCATACTGCGATGTTTCAACCAGCATGTTGACATCAATTTGTGTAGCTCAAGACATGGGAGACCTCCTGGAAGCTTCGGAAAATAGACTATCCATTGGGCCAGGGAGGTCTCCCTCTTAAAATACACACCCACATGGCAAACCGATTAGCTGTTGGCAGGTAGGAATCCCAATGAACGAAACATTCTCTCAGGATTTGCAAAATGGACAAGCCGGTATATATTTGTATTACTACCGTTGAATTCAAAAACAAAAACCAAAGGACCACAAATTGAATTGACATGGCTCTTGATTCATGCTCCCAAGATTCATTGATGTTGACAAAGTATCCCCATCAGTTGGCAACACAACGCAACATGTCAAACATCTCGCTAATGAAAGATCCAAATGCCCACCAATTCCCAGTCATCTACCTGGAGCATCGTACGTGTGACCACAGCCAAACACTCCATCCATGGTATGTGCCCATACAAGGTAGCTAAATTTTACACATGTGCCATGCATACTGCCATGTATATAAATGGAGCGCCTGGGTAGGAATATTGCGACCATTTGGTGACCGGTGACCACTTGCAAGGATCACATAACCAACTTTCCTGCTATGGAATCCCCACAGTTACCCTTTGTCTTGGTGGAAAACCAGTAGGAGATTACAAAGAACGAGGCTTTTCCACCGTAGTCAAGCATCATATGAATCATATGTATAAAACAGCCTCACAGAAGTATAAAACAAATGGAATGAAACGAGCCCAAAACCGGATCTTGTTCAAAAGCAGCCTTGAATAACTTTCTCCTGGCACACGTGCATCTTCCGGTCAGCAGGAGAATTAGCAACGTCCACCATCTTCGATCAACACAGTGATCGTCGCGTACAGCTTTACTGGCATCCCAGAATCTATTGCAGGTCAGCTTGCAATTCTTATGTTTGACAAAGCACTGTGTTGTCTGTATATATCTATCCTCTGACTTATTGAATGTTGGGGTTTCGTCATGTGTTCAGCTTGCAAAGTGGTCCAGTGGGGATGAACAAGCACATCGGACGGGGTCAGGCACCACACGACCGCCAGTCTTCGTACGGTCTTCCTTTCCCTATGGTGGTGTTTCTATGGTTTCCTGCCCAGACTGGGCCGATCAGGTGGTGGTTTCGGGAGTTCCGTACATGGTGTGTCTGGGTTTGGTTCAAAGAAACTGTTTGGCCACACACTGACACAAAAACATGAAGCCTGGTACATATACATGGGTCTTCCGATTGAGCTGCCCTTTTTGAACAGAACTCTGACTTCATGGAATGGGTCTGCACAGCTTGAGCCGACGGCCACACGGTCCCAGTACTCCAGAAGGTCCCAAAAAGGGAATGACATGGTTTCAAAAAGGGGCCAAGAAGGGGATTGATTGGCACTATGTCATAATGTTTCTTGTTTGGGATCTTCCATGGGAAAGGTGTTTAGATGGACTGCCACCGGTCTACCAATCTGGTCTACACATGATATGGGCCTGGTGAAAGAAGTTCTGGTGGAAGACTTGTCCTTTGACTCTCGCTTACATGGATTCATACCAAAGCCCCCTGGCCCTGTTGATGGTTCATGGACACCCCGAATCACCTCTAAGGAGCTTTTGTCACACAGACACCCCTGGCCCTGTTGATGGAATCGAGATCCCCACCCATTTGGGTTCGGAGATCCCACAGCAAAAACACAGACTGGCAAGACCGGACACCGCAGGTGTTGGCCAAACAAGTGGCAGGTGGGCTCTCAGGTCATGGAACAGGCGGGTCACGCCTCCTGGAGTGACATACCCCCTAGACGCTGCAAAAAGGTGCAAACCTCCGGAAGGGTCCTGTACCAATAAAGGCATCGCTAGTAGTAGCTTCTTGCTACTAGTAGCGACAGTAGCGATGCACTTGTTCCTAGTAGCGATGCATCTCCTGGAACTTTGGAAGTCCAATTTGTGGAACCCTCGGCGCACATCTCTTTTTTGGGGCAAAGCCCTATTGAAATGACAACTTGGTACATGGAATGGTCAGCCAGCAGTCTTGAGCAAGGAGCTACGAAATATCATGAACACAAAAAGCAACAATAGTCTCAGTGGTTGGGAAGGCAGACTTTGGCACCCACACACAAAACTCTACCTGCTGCTGATGGTATGGGTGTGTAGCTCAAATAGGGAGACCTCCCAGTTCGACCCCCTGGAAGACGGGAAATGAACCAGTCAGTCTCCCCATTGAAATTTGAACTACCCCTAGGGCTCCTGGCCCATCTCCTCAGGTTCGGTGGCATTCGACCCCGCTGGCACCCACCCCAGTCCCAGCTTCTCAGGAAGCAGTGGGCCAGGAGGAGCCCTAGGGTACACATATATATTAAAACCAAGCGGAGTTTCGTTGTGTTGATGGTATTGTTACGTTGATGGAAGCGGTTCGTTCGTTACATGACATCTTCACTTCAACATGGATCACCTCAACGACCTAAAGATCCACACCCCAAATGATCCTCAAACATAAACCGATCTAAAGCATGCCAAGACATCCCAAGACCTCTACAACAGAATCCCATAGACAAGACGCCTAAATCCCGTAGACCAGACTCCTATTTACAACAGAATCCGAAGAACACTACACGTTTGTTTCCCAAAAAACATAAACACTGAGAAATCCACCTGAAAACTCCAAATCCACCTGCTCGCTTCGCACGCAGGTCTACGCTTTAACCGGCCGATCAGGACCACACGACGCAACCGGCTCATCTCGGCGTCCGCGCGGCGCTCCGCAAAGAGCGAAAAGGGCGCCTCGGTCGCTCAATGCGGTGCGAAAAACGCGGTGGGTCGAAGCTGCGGAGGGTCGCAGTTCTTGAAGAAACGGGACTTGAAACCCCTCTTCTTTGAGGTGATGTGCCTGTTTTTTGGGGGGCGATATGTACGTATGTAACTTTGGATGACTTTGGTGATTCCTACATATAATGTTGGGTGTGTGCATCCACAAAGAAGAGAGGCCCGTCAAGACCCGCTGGAAGAAGGAAAGTAGACAATGGGATTCTCATTGGTTGGAGGTCTCCCTATTCTTGCAAGAAGCTACGCACAGTGGAGGCAATCGCTATTAGGTTGGAGGCCATGGCTGGAACAATAATCTACTATGTATAGTATTAATTGTTATTATGGGGGAACGATGAAGGCCCTACGCCGCCTAAGCTGTACCAACTGCAAGGTTGGGCCAGAACAGCTAAGAAGCTACTAGTAAGATCTAGTAACAAGGTAACAAGGGCTTTCAATACTTCAGGTGACTTCTGGTGACCCGTGCGAGGCACCAGCCACTTCCGAGTCACTCACTCATGTGGAAGTGAAGAAGTTCACCACCTGTTTGGTCTTCAGATTTCATGGTTCATGCAAGGGGATGTGCTGCCACCCGCTTCCATGATATTCAAGAAGTGTATATTTCCGCGACGCTTCAGGCGCTTGTCCTGTCCAATTGTGAACTACTCAGGGTCTAGAGGTGCAAACCTCCAACGGTTTGCAACGCGTATAGCCAACCATCTGCTGGTGGGTGGAGACCCAACCAAATGTCGATTTCGCCGCAGACTGGCTGGACTACCCTCACAACTTCGACATGTCCACTCACAAACTCCTTGAAGCTCGAACGATCTCGAACGGTTGATATACATTGGTCAGATCGGTTGAGGGTTGTGCATGAGTGCAACACATCTCTGGATTTGTCAGTGTTCCCTCGAACCCTTTTTCACCTCTTCTGGTTTTGTGGGGTGTGAGCAATCCCCCAAAAAGGTCTTGAATTTGAAGGTTATACCTGGGTAGGAGTTATACCTGGTTGACCTGGTTACTTCCCAAGGTTTTTCCTGGGCAGGAGTGGTTTCTCAATCAATGATGGTTGCATCTTGCCATACCTTGGCCTTTGCCCCTGCAGTGTTTCATCGGATTCACTGTAGGCCTGGGGACAGTCTCTCAAGTGGTATCTCCAGGGCATGGAAAATAAGAGTCTTATAAGTCATGATGCTGATTCATATAAACAACATTCTGGCGAAAGAAACCTGACACTACACGTTCCAACCCTGTGTCCATCCACATGGTACCTGAAAACAAACGCCCTCGTTCCAACCGCTGAAACGTCCCTGGTTCGAAGCACCCTTTTTCTTTCGTTGATCAGGCCCACAGCCCTGATTAAGAAAACAAACAACAACGCATTTAACAAATCTCTGATTGCTCACTCTGTTAGGTCTGTTCCCCCCCAGTTCTTCCCCACCTGCCCAGGCTTAAAGAGCTCATAGGCTCCTGAAGTGACTGCCTGGCGGGAAGCAAGTCCACCAGAAAGCAGTCAGGACACGCATTTTGTTCATCCTTTCTTGTTGGTTTTAGGCCGATGAAAGGTTGATTTGATGGGAAGCAGAACATGAAGGAAGGGACTTTTTTTCACAAGTTGTTTGTTGGGAAACTATTTGGTACACACATATTTCCGCGCGTTCCCTCCGATTTTTTTCAGATCTTTCAGTACATCTTGGTCAGTCTCGTGGTCATACATCTCACATTCATGTCTGAAATGCATATCCATGTTGCGTGTTGCACCGGTGCATGGACGCCCAGGTTCCCCGTCGACAACGACTTCTCCACGAAAAACCACAGTGAACCGGTCCAAGACCCACAACGAGTTGTTGAGGTGGCGAGCAGAAAACACATGAAGGTCGACAACAATGCTTACTTTTCAATGGACCACATTGTGACATCGTGGCTTGAGGTGGTTTTCTTGGTGTATTCTATCACAAAAACATTTTCTCTTCGACACGTCCGGAGGCCTTAGGTGCTTGAAGTGCAGGCGCATCGAGGCCCGATGGTTTGAACGGTTCTGCCTGAAAAGGAAACTGTGCTGCGCTGCGGGTGCGGTTTCTTAGCCATCGAGGCCATCCATGTAGGGAGGCGCGATCTTTGTGGAGGGAACTTGGAATATTCCCTAGGGCTCCTGTCCCATATCCTCAGGTTCGGTGGTTAGACCCCCAGGCACCCACCCCAACCAGCTTCGAAACGGAGGCAGTTGGAGCCCTAGGGATTAATACTTTGTCTGCACCTGGAAGGCCAAATTTTAACAAGAAGGACCCGCTCCTTCGATTCGATGAAACTTGGTCTCAACTTGGACCGTTGTTGCACGTGTAAAAAAGATGACCATGGGTGACCAGGGTCAAGAAAATGCAAAGCCACCAACGCCTTAAACATTTGGCACTTTGAGGTTACCTCGCTAAAGCTTGGGGGAGGAGGGGCTGAGTCATTGATGCCAGCTACACCCAGAGGCAAGTTCCTAGATAAGAGTCACAGTCGCCGTCAGTCATTTTGATGTTTGGTGGAGAAGCAACATGTCTGCAGTGTTGTTCTTTTGGATTGATTTCTCCTGTTAGTGGAATTGATTCTTGGGTTTTGCATGGTTTTGCGTCCGCTTCTTTCCTTCTCGGCCCGATAGGGGATTTTTCGGATGGTTCCCGTTCCCAGTGTGGACGTCCGACACGAGAGTGCTTCACCTTGGAAGGTGCAGAAAAAGGTTCTCTGTGGTGGCAAGGGGGTGGGGCCCCCTACCCTAGACTGCTTGAGCTTGGCTGATTTGGGTTGGAGGAAGTGTTTTGATTTTGGTTGACTTGGCTTGGCTTGAAAAAGCTTGATGGGGGTTGGGGGCAACACACACAGCCCAAACCACCAAAAAGCTACAAACTGCCAACACAAAGATGTGATCAACTGCGACCTCCAGGTGCATCCTTGCACTCCCATCATAGCACTTCAGGTGCATCATTGCGAAGGATCTTCTTCCTTTGTGACTTGGAGCTTCTCTGATGAGCTTCTCCACTGACCTTTGGAGACTAGTCCTTCTTTACACAGTATACACGTACTTGCGCTATAGTATATAGTTGTTGTACTTCTATCTTCATTGCTCACTGACTTGTTGCAAATCCCCTGGTTCCACGTCCATTTGGAACCCACTTGTACCGTAGAGGTATGGAGATGACACCTGCCTGTTGGATCCTGCAAAAGATGCTACGAGTTGAATTCTGAGGTATACAGATGTATACAGTATACTGTTCTTATCTGTTCTTCATAGCTCAACCCCATCCTGTGAATCGACATGGACCCGGTGGACACCGCAGGACCCCAATTGGAAGGCTAGGCAGCTGTACTGGTTTCCGGCCAGGCTAGGCCGGCGCGAAAACACCCAACCCACCTCCGAAACAATCAAAACACCAAAACACCAAAACTCCTGGATCCGTGAATCCTTGAAACACATTGTTCGACCACCTGTGGCGAGCTGTTTCGGAAGGCCGGGGCTGAAACTCATACCCTCCACTAAATCCTTCAAGTTCAGCCTCGTGAGCAATGCCCAAGAAGCCAACGGCATTGAGAACCTCCGCGTAGTGAACAGCATTGGCGGGTAGTGATCAAAGCTAGTATTATGAACAAAACTCAGAAACAAACACCTAACTCTTGACGTTCTATGCAATCTAAATGTGCGCAGAATGCTTGATCCATTAAATCATCAACTCTCAGTCCCTGCTTTAGAGTTCAATCCCACTATAACATTCTCTAACCCCACGTTAAATCCCCATCGTATTGTTGAACTGTCACCATATTCTCTCCCCCACCCTTCCATTTTTCTCGCACGTCACCTTGGATGGAATGGCCTCCAAACACCTTTTGACCAAGAGCGCCACAAATACCATCCTGTCGTCACATGCAAATCTTCAATTGAGTTGAAAAAACCGTTCTAAAATCATTATCCTAGGTTGAAATCACAGCAATTCCAAGCGGTGGCCATCATGTACCCAACATGGGCTCATGTATATGGTTGTATGTTGTGTATGCCCTTTTAACAGCTGCGTTCTTACTTACAGAGTCCAACGGTTCCAAATGTGAAGCTGAAAGTAGCCATCCTCTTTCACACAGAAACAAATTGCCAAGACTATACACCCTGGAAAGCACTTGGACAAGTGGTGAAAGTTGCAAAGGGGTCTAGCGCGGATCTAGCGCGGGTCTAGCGCGGATCTAGCGCGCTTCCCTGCCAGTGCATGAGGCCACCAAACGTCTGTGATCAAGAACTCGCTTTCTCGTCTCTCAAACACCAGCTAAGCCGTAACAACCCGAAAAAGTACATTTATTTGAAAAATGTTGATTTTTGCTTTTGGTATAAAAATTTTAATCTTGAGTATGTATTGAGTAAAAGGGTAGGTATTGCGTAATTGCATAAATAACATTAATTAACATATTAAATATACCCTGTTGGTCATAACATGCATTGCAGTATACTTGATTCATCATATACTGTTGGTCATATACTTGAATATCTCCGGGCAGGCTTGCTTGGAGGAGGCCACTGTCCACATGAGAGGCTCCAAGAATTTGATGGTGCCAGCCCGATGGAAGAACACCTTCCCATATTGTATATAGATATAAATAGAATGCGAGCGTGATTAACGTGATATAGGAGAAAATGGGTTGAGCATGTATTTGGACTGGTGAGCATGTATTAGGTAACACGTGACCCGGAGAAATAGAAATTAAGACCCGGAGAAAATACTGACCCGGACTAGACCCGGAAAAACCCGGACTCTGAGCGGAGAAACCCGGATTCTGAGCGGAGATCATGAGCATGTAATGGTGTTACATGAGCATGTATTGTGTAATCCAGTGATTGTTGCATGTAGCCATTGGGGATCACATGGTGCCACTACTGAGCCGTGTTTGGAGTTGTTCAGACCTTGTTGAGGGCGCAGTCATGCTTACTGATGATGCTGTGCTGGCAATGAAGAAGAGTCTCCTGTCAGAGACTCATGGGAAGTCGCATATACTGTACTATTCATCAGAGACTCCTGTCTGTACTTGATTCATCATATACTGCACTATTCATCATTAATCATAACCCGGAGATATTCAAGTTGAGTATGTATTTCGTAAAAGTGTAACTTTTTAAAAAATAAATTGAAATTATTATCATTGAGTATGTTTTTCTCAAAAATGTACATTTTGAAAGACGGTGTAACAATTCTAGCACTTTTGGTTTAGCTGGCAGTTACTCCCTTTCAAAAAGTTGCTGCCTTTTTCAGCGCGCGCTGCCTTTCAAACAGTTGCTGCTCTTGTGCCTGTGCGGGTGTGTGTGTGTGTGTGTATGTGCACCAATGAGTGACCGTTACAATCAGCTCTTGTTTGTTAATCTTTTCTAAGTTACCTAAGTACTTGATCCTAGCGCCAAACCTAGCGCGAACCTAGCGCAACCCTGCGTTTTGCTAGCGCGACGAGGTAACATACCCACTTTAAACACCAGAATACCAAGCGGTGGCCAAGCGATTTCTGAACCTCTGGGAACATTCCTTACTTAATACATATTCCCGGTTTTTTCGACTCAAGTGCAAACACCTGATCTGCAAGACTTCAGATCCAAACGCGCAGACGCATGCGACGTGCGTCCTGTCCGCCGGCGTCCCGCCCTTGCCTGCCCCGCACCCAGCACGACCACGGGGCCGTCGCCCACTTGTGCCTGGCCCGGGCGGGTCGACTTGACCCGAATGGACACCCACTTGAGAAGTAGGTTCATCGCGGCCTGGAAGGTCCACCCCAAAAGATTGAACATTCCTGAAAACTCTGCTTGCTGGAAAAAAACACAAAAACACACTGAGCACATTCGGATCGGACATGTGACATGGGCATTTCAGGCTGAGATGGATCTTGAGTACCTTCATGAGCTGCACTCAGCACCAAGGAGTATCAAGGCATACACACACAAACATACACGATCCTGCGCGGCGAAACACATATGGTGTGATATGGAGCGGGAAATCAAGCCCTTTCGATTCTACTAGTACCGACTTAGATATGAACCAACAAAGGATTCCTTGTGCAATTCATCTTCTACGATTGCCAATTTCCATACTGCTATGACCCCAAACAGAAGCTAGCGGGCGCAAACCGACCAAGAGCTATGCTAAGGCAAAAGATCGCCAACAACCGTATGAACATGCTAGACGTTCTTTTCCCACAAAATCAATGTATGGAATGTTTACCTACAATGACTCATGACCATTAAATCCTCAAAATCACCCAACTGTAGGTGAATCTTCCAGTCCCATGGATTGTTAGGGTATAGTCTTTGGTGATCTATGGCCATATGAACACCACCATAGTTGGTAACTGGATGTTTTGCTGCACATGTCCCAGTTTCTCCACCGGTGCACCTGTCTCCGGATCGGTGTTTCCACGCGGGGACCCAATAACGCGCCACGCGCTACGCGGTATACGGTGGACAGGGTGAAACATGGTGAAACCATGTGTACTGCCTTCAGGGTTCCCCCTACTCCCACCCACCTCTCCAAATATCAATATGTAGGAGGTAGCATGAAACTTGGTTTGTGATCAAATACATCGGATGGCGTCCAGGACGACATATAGGAACGTACGTCACAGGGGCAAAACAAACTGACATGTGCTATTTTGTGTGCAAATGTCTCCCACCCATCTTTGCTCTACCTGGATCTTCCCACGATGCAGAATGTTCATGCTTCGTCCTCTTTTTGTCCATCAAAACTGGCCCAGTTCGTTAGAACATTCTGCGTGGGAAGATCGGTGGACCTCTATTACCCTACACCTCTAAGTACCTCCTCAGAAGGCATTGGACCCCCCACCCCCACCCAATTGGCTACTCCGGTTCACACCCACGGAACAACGACGGTGCTCGTGCTTTCGAACGTTCCAAACGAAGGAACGAATTCGTTCGACGTGCACCTCCACGACGCCACTCTCGATGATGTAGACCGGACCCCGGTTCTGAAGCTCTAAGACCTGCAGAACTTCACACACACCGAGTCATGGGCGCAGCGGGGAGCGGGGATCGGGGAGCGGGCGACAGAATCGAAACCGGGTTCTATGGTTCTGCCGAAGGACGATGGAGGTTGCAGTGCCGAACTAAGATGTTGATGGGGTCAGACTCAAACGAATGGCCGTGTGAAGATATATAGCTCACTTCCTGCCTTTATCTTCCACCCACCTGTAGAATCCTGTAGACACTGCCGTCATGTGGATACCAATGTTGGGGCCTTTCTGGCCATTTCTGGCGCCGGAAGCCCCACCTTCCTCACGACCAGACGCTCGATGTCGCACACACTCCCCGTCCGGACGCATCGCGCCTCTTTGGGTTTCAGATTCACGCGCGGCGCCTGGCAGCGCGGTCAGGTCTCGCCGGTCTCTGAGGGCTCGGACGGGGACGCGGAGCGCCTTGATCCTGAAAGGGTCAGATGTCCCTGTCTTGAGGTGAGATGATCAAACAGGTTCCTGGACCTTCTTTCGGGGTGTCCTGTCTGGAGGTCCCGGATGGTGGTGGGCTGGGGCGAAACCAGCCAGGTGACCCCGACATGAAGGTGCTGGTTCCTGACTCTTTGAAGGAAACACGTGCGTGTATGGTGTGTGTTTGAAAAGGGAGAACGCCCTGGCCCAATGATTAGGGTCTAGTGACCTTCTTCCAAAGGACCCAGGATCATTCGGGAGGTCTCCTTTTATCATGAATACACATCCAAGATTTCCAAATGTCCTCATTGGGCCTCCGCAATGCTACTTAGCTGGCTTCCGGTAAGCCATGGCCTATAACCACTTCACCACAAGGTAGCGGGCACAACGAACCACCGCTGCAAAAGGCGACTGTCATTGGAATGGAGAAAGGAACGGGGCAGCAACGGCTTTCACCCACTCAATCCTCTGTACTCCGCCAACCTAACAACCTATACAAACGGTATTCAAATGAGTGTTCCCTTCGGTGCCATATACTGCTTGCTCCTGCGTTTTCGTGGATCCAGGTTGTCGCCTTTGATTCCATGACCGACCGGGCGCCAGCGCCACCACCCGTCGCCCCTGTGCCTTGGGCGCAGCTGTATATGGCAGAAGGGCATCACAATGCCTCACGACTCGTGTGGCATGGTCGTGTCGCGCGGCGATGGGAAGAACCGCAGGGTGGCAGTGACGACAATGATCATTCCAGTTGGATGTAGTTGGGAGAAGTGGTAAGTTCTCAGTGAGATACACATAGCCCCCCAATCCCACCTAAGCCAGTTCGGAACACTGCAAGGAGAGCATCATGTTCCACCTCCTTCTGATTGCCTGCCTAATTTCGGGAAGGGACACACTCCCTCATCCCCCATGCCCATGCCGACTCCGACGCCCTGCCCGGTGAAGTTTCAGGCCTCTGTTTGTATCAGGTCGATCTGCGCACGTGAGATCGTGCAGGTGAGTTAATGGCAGGTGAGTTCGATTGTGTCAGTTGTTTCAGTTTGCCTCCTAATTTATATATATTACTATCACTCCTGCACCCCAAAAGACAGTGGGGGGGCATTCCAAACATATCAAAACCCTGACGTTCGTCACATGCGACGAGCGACTCGTTCGTCCCTCGTGCGTCTCATCTGACGGTCTTGAGACCACACCCCGGCCAGTCCAAACGAGTCCGACATAGTCCGACATTGTTTGGACAAAAAACGGAAAAACATAACAACAAAACACATATTCACATATTGCATGGACATGGATTGTCTGGGAAGTGAAAATACTCTGCACCACGAGTGGTGCTCCATCCCTATTTACGAGGTGTTTCTCGCCTGAAGAGAGCATTGGAGGCTAAAACTTCACAGGTGTTCTCCTCCGCATCTTGACCTCATCTGCATGCGCATAGCACCCGTGGGGGTTTTCATTCAGTCCAGCAAGGGCGAATCGGCGCCGATTCGGATTCGCCAACGAAGAACGATGCTGTGATAGATGACGTATGGGGTTCCCGGTGCCTCCATATGAGGTTCCAGCTGATGAGTCCAAATCTACGGTTGAAATGTCTCCACAGTTGCTCTTTCGCACCTATACCCTTTTGGCCCTTGAAGCCTCGGGAGCCAAGAAAAATCAAGGCCTGTCTTTTCCACACCTCCAAATATATATTCCGGGAGTCAATACATCTTCACGAAGTGACCACTTCTGAGGCTAAAAACGACCAGGGGCACCAGGTGACCAAAGCTTCTGCCCAAGGTGTTTTCGAAGACTATACATGGATCTTCCAATAGGCAGGCTTGATGGATTTCATGACACATGTTCAAACTGGTACTGAACATTCATAACATTTGCTTCCTCACTGGTCTCCAAACAAGGAAGATACAAGGAATCTAACCATCCCCCCCATTCGTTGCGCATGTCTCAAACCCAGTCAGGCTACATGATCCCATCGATTCGTTGCGCATGTCTCAAACCCAGTCAGGCTACATGATCCCATCGATTCAAAGAACCTTTCACAATCACCAAACTAGGTCAGCTTTGATCACAAGGAACTGGTCTTCGCTCGTCAGATCCACCTCTTGAGGCCATCGCTGGAGAAACCAACACACCGACCCAACAAACACAGTCACGACGTCTACACCATGTAGCCGCTGTGGGTCTCAGCTCCTCGCGAAACGTCTGCTTTTGGTCATCTCCGGTTCGAACCGAGGCGCTAAACTCTTGGGTCATGCGGAGGAAGTCCTCGGAAGAGACAGAGCTTCAGCTTCGGCTTCAACGAGCGAAGCGAGCGAAGCTTCGGCGAAGTGCTGCGCGGTGCGGAGCTTCAGGAGAGGAACGTTCCCGAGGGAGTTCTTGTTGGGAGAAGGTGCTGGTGGAGTGGTTCATGGTTCAAGATGCTTCAAGATGGTGATATAGGGTGATTTGGAGTGGTCAAGTGCTGAGGAGATACTGGTGGGCTGAGTGGACCATGCAAGGGATGGGACAGGCTTCAGAAGTGCCTTATCATGCCTTACCCATTCTCAACCATCGACCTATAAGTGATGTTGACCATACACGGTATACGGTATACATGTCATTGCCAAAGCTTCAGCACACACTCACACACATGAATAACAACGAATAACAATGAAAAACACACAAAATAAGAAACCCACATGCATAACAATACACAGTTAGAACAACAATATATTGTAAAACATATAGCCATGGTGTGCATGTGTTAGGTGCAGCATGTGGATTGTTTCGAGAACGGTGTGCAGAAATGTGTGTTTGGGAAGACGACGGGTTAATCCATCCGATCCATCGATCGGATCCCTCGGACGTTGGGACGTGATCCACACGTTGGTCGTCTTGTAACGCTGTAGACGTTTAGTCCGGGTCATGTAACGGGTCCCAGCTGCTAAATGCTATAGCTGCAGCTGGGCTAGTCGTAGCGGCAGGTTGGGAAGATAGTGCTTATAGGGGCATTGCTGATCAGATTTCTGATCAGATTTCTTGGCTCCCCTAGTGGTTTAGAAAGCTTGGGGGTGGCTAAGGCTAGTGAATGCGGAATGCCTCTGAACAGGAGTCAGAGGGAAGAATGCATGTGCTGGAAGGCTGGAATCCTATTCTTTGCCACTCCAGATCGCATCACTGAGGCTTCAACGTGGCTTTACAACAGGATCTGTAGGGGATGGTAGAGAAGGTTGGTAGGTACCGACGATCCAGGGAAACATCTTGGAGGCCGACCATTTTTGCTGGAACCCTGCTGAATCCTGATTATACACTCTTCCAAAAAATGTGGCGAACAAGTGCCAGGAGATGGTCCACTGCTTGGGGTTAGCATAAAATCAATCTTTGAGAGAATTGAGCTGGAACCTCCGTCACCAATTTTAGACTACCCTTCACTATAATTACTTGTGGACCTCCATCATTGGACACACATTGGATGATTCGATGATCGGTGCCTCCAGTAGCTCCAAGCCTTGCTGGACGGTCTTGCAAAGGGTGGTGAGGGCTCGGACAGTCCACAGTCCCACGCCACGGCGACACACGCCGAGCCTGCCACTCCTGAAACAGCACCTAAACATGAGTCCAAGCTGCCACGGTGCTGGCGGAAATGCCATTCTTCACAGCCCTCCTGCGAATCACCAGCGCGCGGCACGAGTGACCGGAGCCGGTCGGGCACATGACCAGGAGGAGTGTGCTCCATTTCCCGGTCCAACGGGTCGCATGGGGTCGTAATGGCCATAGGTCATGGTCATTTCCCAGCAGGTCCAGGTGATGTATGGAGCCGAGGCCACGGAACCGGTGAAGACACCAAACTACCGCCCGGGGTCAGTTCCGAGGTCAGCTCCGCACGGACCCGGACCACTCCCTACTAATGTGACATGACCCCAATGAACAAAACGGGGTACGTGTACCCCTGTTCCGAGGTACTTGCCTCAAAAAGAACCTGCCAGTTTTGATGAGTTGGACCACCACAGCTGAGTTTGCTTTCAGCCTCTCGAAGTTCGCGAACCATCTCGAGGTGTCATAGGCGGACCATCCGGCCAGGGTCTTCAGCACTTAATAGGTCCGTTCCTCCAACGACGTCTCAAATAAAACTGGTGTGTCGATCCTGGAAAGTGCTAGTCTGTGGGAAAGTGCTAGTCTGTGTGTTTTAACCGTCAGAACCCCTGGCGCCCTGAGTTTTCTTTGCATGTTGTTGCTCATGCTGTTTCCTCTTCCAAGGGATCATTGGGGAGTTTCCTACTCTAGTGTATACCTGGATCCAACTGTGCAAACATTATACCATATTACACCTTTGATCTATAAAAGCCAGCCAAAAAGACAAACATGTTGCATAGTTGGAAGATCCAGGTTGGACACTGAGTGTCCAACTGAGTCTGAAGCCCCAAACACGCATTTGTTTTACACTAACTACAAAACGAGCTCAACCGTCTTGTAAATAGGTCGAACGCAAGGCGACAGGCTGTGGTCTTCGCGCCGTTCTCAGTCTCAGTTCGCTCACTTTTGCCGCCGGCATCCATCGACGGCATTCTGATTTCGGCGGCTTCCTTGGAGGCGTGAATGTGTCACACCCAGTCGACACAATGTCCATTGGTGCTAGTAGGTTGGAGGCCATCTACTAGGTTGGAGGCCATCGCTACTTACTAGGTTGGAGGCCATCGCTATAGTACCCCAATCTTAGAGTGGAAGGGCAAGTTCGCAGTCAGGGCGCTTGTGGCCAAAAAACCATCTCAGGGTCGGTACGTGAATCCCTTAAAGCAACTGTTGATGATAAACACCGTGGGTCAATCCTGCGTCCTTACAAACGCTACCCATGGTGAGCGGTGTCTTTTCGGAAAGCCGGTTCGTTGGAACTTGATGGATTCTGCCCATTCGCACTGAGCATTCGCACCAAACCCATGTCCATCTGCATCAATGCAGCGATAATATAACGCCCAAAAACTCCATGTATGACATAATTACTTACATTGTGGTGGTTGAAGTTAGGGGTCAATGCAGGTAAACATTCCATACATGGAGTGTCTGGAATGTCTGGGATAAAAGCTCTTAAGCAGTGCCTAAGACTTCACGTTCCACAAACCACAGGACAAGACCTCCCATAATAGCGGAAGCTGAGCGAACCTTCCAGCTTCTTCAAAGTTAGAGCGCCCTAAGTGACCTTTACAGGCCCAATTGACCTCAAACCGAGATATCAAAAGGTCACTTTGAAGAACTAGGTTCTTTTTGCGCAAGAATGGTTGAGTTCCACTTCAATGACCCTTTGAGAGAGGGTAGATCCTCGCTTTCCCAAACACAAACGTCCTGGCAACCGATCCTGGCAACCGGCCGACCGATGTGCTGTTTTGCTTACAGGACATGCCAGATTCGCCGTCGAACATCGTATTGAGATGTAGAGACAGCCAACATAACTGCATATCTATAGCAAATGCTCAGGCCTTTCTGATGTGATTATGACCAATGCTTCTCATGACCAAAACGAGGCAAAACCATCAGTCCAGAAATTCAAGTTCCCTGGTGACCCAGCATCTGCAGGCTTGATGTGAATTCCTGTATACGTTGTATTCAAGTCAATTGTTTCGATGTCTAAACCGAAAGCGTCAAACCACGATGACTCTCGCACGAAGAGACCATCATCCTGCATGTCGGAAACGGAGATCGCCCGCCCAAAAGGACTATAGGAACTAAGCTGGGTTCTGCAGAAAAAATAAGACCTAGCCAGACCATGCCAGACCCAGGACCTGCAGGTTGTTTCATTTTAGCCACCATTTGGTCAAAACACAAACAAGTCACAAACACAAAATCTGAGGTGGATCGCTGCTTGGAGCCTCTTAAATCTGAGCCCCTTTTGCCTCCGGATGTCCACAAACATCTGAGGAGAAATCACCCCAGCTGCGCTGCAGTTCTGGCAAGAGCAACTCACTCCGTTCCGACTTGCTTCCGTGCAACATATCGCCACGGTCTGCTGTGTCACGTTCCATGTCCATTCATGTTCTCAAACAAGCTGCAGTCTGAAAGCTGATTTCAGCTGCGCGTTGGAGACTTATGCCGCCCCAAAAGTGAACTACTGACCACCGGACCGCTGGTCTGTCGGATCCACTGAGGAAGGTGTTGAACCTTCAGCGGTTTAGTAGCAAATCCCTTTGTAAGCAAAAGGGGCTCAGGGTCTAAGAGGAAGGACAGTTGCTCTGGGCCACGTCGGCAGCTGGACACTTGGACAGCTGGGACAGCCTGAAAAGGATCGATCGAAAGGGACATGTACATGTGCATGTGTGTTGTCTGGCATGGGTTAGATTGATAAATAAGTAAATAAATAAATAAATATACTAAATTATATGTATATAAATACATCCCTCCAAGTCAATGGCCTGGTAAACCCTGTTGATTTAGAATCAGAGATCAAACACACTATTTACTTGTAAAGAACCTAGTTTAACTTGGTCCCCAAACGTAAATCTGTTCATGATCTCTTCAGAGGTATTTTTGAGGCGGTCACGTTCAAGCAGAGTGGTCGACATTAAGAGCAAGAGGTTTCAGGCAATGTAGACACCCTCCGGAACCTGACCAGCCAAGTGCCGCTGTTGGCTGGCCCTCGTTTTGCACAGGGAGATGACTAGAAGATGATGGAAATGTCACTGCAATGCATCGCTCTCGTTTTTGTACAAGCTATACTAGATCATTCGAAGGTGAACACAGCTGTGACGCATCTTGATGCATTGTGACGCAACATATGGATATGGGGCAAAACTAGGGGGGCCTTGGTTTTTCCCACCGAAAATAAATAGAACGGAAGACTTTTGGGAGAGTGACACGGGCATTCAGGGTTCCGGGATTTTGACCCACAGCCACGTGAGAATTCCTTTTGCTCACATTCGATCGGAGTTAGATCCCGATCAAAAGCCGAGCACCTCAAGGGCGCTTAAGAGCAATGCGAAGAGCCCGTTGCGGTTGCCCATGGCATGTTTTTGAATGGTTGGAGCATGGAGCTTATGAATGGTTGGCTCAGCGATTTTTGTTCTGAGATGTCACCACCTCGGGAGAAGATCATTTGAAATCACACTTCACAGCGGAGCATAAGGAGCAGGGCAAATCCATTTCTACTCGCGCGACGGGGGTGAACCCCATGAGGAAGGAACTGAAATTAAGCAGGGCAAACCTTTTTTTCAACACCATGTGACCAACAATGTGGACAAGCTTGGGCATGGTTCATATGCTCGGTCGACATGATGATGGGAATGAACATGATTGACATGTGAAAAAGGATGACGGTGAATTGTTGTGAAATTTGGCCAATTGGGTGGGGGGAAGCAAGACACTTTCGCTTCGTCTTCTGCCAAGTGGCCACCCCTATGGTGCAAGACACGTCGAGAAAGAGTGAGCCAACCAAAGGCCCTAAATCGGGTGCCCATTGCAGGCCCTAAATCGGACGCTCATGGGCACTGCGAGCAGTCAGGAGTATTCGGCACTGGACCTGAAGGACTAACCACCTCATTTCGCCACCAAGTCTTGTGCATGTATATCCTTTCTTCAGGCCCGAACTCTTGGCCTATAGCTTCAATTGGAGATCCAAGCTGACAACCATTGCTGGTGATGAGCCCACTGGCTTCGTCACTTGTCAAAATGTATGCAAAGCTCGAAACGCGATGTTGCCAGCATCAGTGCTTCCGTACTATATAGTCATGATGTCAGTGCTCCGTAATGACGTTGCCAGCCTGATTCCCCACGACCGCGGGATTCTTACATGTTGTTCTAAGGCAAGCTCTTTGCGAATTCGACCTATGAGGAAGATCTGGAAGATTCTTGCGGCATGGTATTAGGGTGGGGAGAGATTGGTCAAGGGCAGGGCATTTCAGTTCCGAACTTCTTTGACGGATCAGTACTGGCTGTGGTCTCTTGCGTTGTTCAATGAATTGTCTTTATTTTATGTTCATTTTCAGTTTACACATGGCGGATGGCAAGCGGCTAAGCCAAGAACCACAGCAGAAATCAGGAATGCTTAGGACCAGGGATCAGGCTGGTGCCATCCACAATGCTGCCAAGCGCTTTCTGCAGAACCACATGCTTCAAAGTAGCCAGCAGGACTTGCATTGGGCAATCTGTTCCTTGCTATTTTTGGCAACCCCCAGGGCCCTCACACCATCATTGGGGCGCTTTCAGAAATCAACAGACGGTTCATGCCCTGCCTCTCGGAGGAGGACACCATTGGGATGATCAAGAAGCTATCGAGGGCAGTCAGCAGAAGACACAGACACAACGAGAGTCCCTCTGCAAAATGGCCAAGCTGAGGCTGAAATGTAGAAACGCATTCCAAGGACAGGTTGGTTGTCTCCCTGAACTCTGTGCACTTTGGCCTTGAGTTCGATGGCAAGCGGCTAAGCCAAGACCCACTAGAGGAACCCTGCACTTTGGCCTTGATTGGGTCGTCTCCCTGTGCTGTGCCTAAGAGGAACTCTGTCCACTTTGGCCTGGATGTGGTTATCTCCCTGAGCAAACCGTGTGTTAAATGGAATTCAACTTACACTGTGATTGAAGGACAGGCAGTTAATTGATTCCATAAGCAAAACAAAATCACGCAATTAAGGGCACCTATGTGAACTTTGGCCTTGATGTGGTTTCTCTCCCTGAGCAACCCATATTTGTATGTCAAATACATGCAAACATGTTGGAACGGTTGCATGATTTTTGGCGCATTGTTGGCAGGATCGATGGCGGCGTGGTGATGTGGAGCGACACGGTGATGTCGTGCGAGAAGAGCGACTGGTGAAACTTGATCCTTCTGAAAGGTACCCGATGAACTTGCACTTCGGACTTGCAGGGTATCTATGAATATGCTCAGTACATTGAATTCCTCCACGCCTAGTCTCAATCCATTCATAGACTGCGGCCCTCGGTATATTGTCTGCCAAATAGGCAGCTGATTCATGCCCAAATCGATGCACAATACCTTGCAACACCTCAGTCCGTGTAACGCATGGAAAGGAAGGAAAAGGCCATCGGCAACATCCAGCGAATCACCTTCAAAGTCGTCCAAAATCGAATCAAATCTCGTCACCAATCCTGGAACAATCACCCAACTGACACACACCTGTTCTTTTGCATATTATCTCACATGTTTTGTTTGGAAGTCTAGGTTCTAGGACATTCTGGCGCTTTGAAGGTCCGAGCACACTGCACGGGAACCATGTGACACTTAGCAAACAAGGTTCCAACTCGTAGCGTGACCCGCGACACGCGTTGCATCTGCTCGAGGGCCTGTTGTTTGGGCAATGCTAAAAAAAGCTGCCTGGCCAACACGAAGAGATTCATTCACGGTATGGGTATATATCCCAGCCCACCAGCAACACATGATGATTGGTTTTGATGGGAGTGGATGCCAACGATAGTGATTATCGCTGGTCGTGGGACACACCCCAGTGAAGCTTACCAGGCTTACCAATAAATGACACAGTTGAAAGCCGGAGACTGGCCCCTGCGTCGGTCTACTTCTCGTCACCTGCCAAGCCAGCACATTAAACATTTCCTCTCAAAGCATCCAGATTGGTCAATTTCTTGAAATCGGCCGAAACACTGCTGGATTCCATTGAAACATGCCATTTCCCTCAATCCCGGAGCACCGCAAGTGGTCGCCTGTCGGCTTGATCAACAGGTGCGGGTTCCGAGGGTTGGAAGCATCACAAACATTGAGAACGTTCAAAGTTCAGTGTTGTCCGCACAATCGGTTGAACGAAAACATAAGAACACCAAACGGCCTGAGCAAGCTTAAAAAGAACATGTTAGTCGAGTAAGATCCAGCAACTCCTTGTAAAAGCCAGGACAAACGGCCCAGCAAATCTTATTCTGTGTACCTTGAGTCTCCAAAGACCTTTTTTTTCTGCGTTTTTGTTTTTGGTCTAATATTTTTGCGTTTTTGCTCGAAAAACGCGTTTTTAGAGATGAGGACTCAAAAAAAGGTGCAGAGTGAATCTTCATCCGGACGCGTCCGGCACGGACACTTAAAGACGCCTTTTGGACGCAAAAAGACGCGTTTTGGACGCCGAAAAAAGGTCTCAGGACACTGTCTAAGGAGGATCTGACAGGGCACAAACAAAAAAGGAACATTTCGTGACATATGCAAAAAAGAGTGCTTTCTTTCAAAAACCTCTTTTTCTTGGAAAGGCAAATTTAAAAGGGTCATTGGAGACTCAAGGTAGATGTGGAGGCGGAAACACTGAATTTGCGGAATCCATGCATGACCGGACTATGGCGAGCTCAAATGCTGAGGGAGACTTCAAGTGAATCATCCATTTGGCTCCATCTCTTCTCCTCAGCCGACCGCAAACACCGTTGACCTCGGTTCCCCTGTAGACCGAGGCATGCTGATTCCGGCTCCTCAAAGTTGGCTCAGACCAATTCTAACCACAGGGGAATCTAGATGAGCTCTGAATGCTTTGGGCCCGTTGCTTATGCTTCAAGTGGATGGCTCAAGGGGAAACACAAATCCGCTTGGATTGCTCCACCGCTGTCACTGTCACAACTCCCTGAAATGCAAGAAGTGGAGTTCACTACCTACGACACGGACTTTGTCGTCGTTTTGGCAGCCATTCACATGCTGTTCCTGGGAGCGTTACCCAATTCCTTTCTACCCGCCAACTGTTGGATCCTCATGTTCACCCCCGCCAATATGAGCCAATCGCATTGATCACCCTGGTGACAATGCCTCTCTGCTCAGAGAACACGACGTGACGCCGTGACAAACATGAACATCCACCTCGCTGCGCGAACTCACTCACCTCGTTTGGTCGAACAACCCATCCAACATCAAACCATCTTCGAAGGCCAGGCTCCTGTCTGCGAGCATGAGTGCGACGCTTCTGGTGGATCAACTGATCCAGCTTGTTCTGATCAAGCTTCCTAAGGCCGCGGCTCACGTCGCAGGAACCATGACTCGTGTGGGTATGGACTTGATTTCAATAGGGAGAGCCCTGAACGAAATGGATGCGAACCTTCCAGGGGCTCGTTGCCGGGGGGTCTCTCTCCTTTAATACCGGACCTTAGAGAATAGTAATCCCTAAACCTCCAACTGCTTCCTGAGAAGCTGGTTGGGGTGGGTGCCTGGGGGTCTAACCACCGAACCTGAGGATATGGGACAGGAGCCCTAGGGAATGGAAGTGGACAACCGGCCATTGTCCATACTTGTTGGGGGTGTACATACCCTTGTCAATCACTGGCCCACCTCATCGCTGCCAGAGCAGGGGGCCTCTGGAGAGAAACGGAAGCAGGGGGCTCGCATGTTTGGCGAAAACAGGATAAAACAGGCATCATTTATCACAAACGGCCGAAGAATGGTTTGTACAGATTCACGTCTCAAGGACCTCATTTTACTGGAGATGGTCAAAAGCACTACTCAATGAGGTAAACGACTAGGATTTAATGGGTCTTTGGACTTGTAGGGATTGTATCAACTTGACTCATGTTGCTTTTGGAGCCTAGTCTATTTTCCAGGGCACTATCTACATCCCTCCACATCCTCCGCCTGTGGGTTCTTGAGCTGTATCAACTGGTCAAGCCTTCAACGTTTGAGATTCTCAGATTCTCATTGCAATTTTTGAAGTTCACTCGACTGGTTGAGTTTTGGGACAACTTCCGGGAAGGGAAAAACTGAGATGATGATATGATTACACATATGATTACCCAAGTCGTTTGGTAACTCACCTACTATAAAAGGGGATCCTTAAAGGCCATGAGTGAGATACCCATGGGTCGATCATGGTTGATCTGGATATATAGACAAACCATCCGGACAAAACTAAACTTACAAGTATGAATGACTTATGACGTCTTATGACGTAGAAGGTGGAACAACATCAACCGAAGCAGACCCCTGGATGATAGAAGTTCAAAGTCTCCAAACCTTAAAGAACATCTCCAAGTCTCTGCAGGAAGCTATCAAACTTCGTGAGATGCCGTTGGTGAGTGCTTCTCATCGGCGGGAGCGGCGCGTCCCCCTGGAGGAAGCCCCCCGTGCTGCGGAGACCAACGCTTGAGATCCCGGGATTCCATGGAAAGGAGTTACTGAAGCCGACCCTAACATTTCTTTCGGTTCATGTATTCTAACAAATCCATCGGTGACTCCGCCGGAATTGGGTCCCTTGACCAAAAAGGAAGGCATCTCGGGAAATTTGAACGTGTATAGACTAGACTCTTGATGAATAAACCCAGTTGAATTGGAAAATCCTCTTTATAAAGGGCACATCCTGCGTTTTCTTTTCAGGGCCGGCACAAGCAACGATCACCACCAGTCGCAACGATCCGAGTTCGGATCTCAAGCTCTACGGAACCCAACGTGACCGGGCCAGGCCCATAGACCCAACAGACCAGTAGACCCCAAGCAAGACGCACCAAACGGACCGCCTGCACGGTGTTATAGCGAAGAAAAGAAACAAGAACACATCTCCGCCTCTCGGTAGATGCGCACCCCATCCATGGAGCGAAAACTCAAGCGTGGTGATGGACCCTCCACAGAGGACTCCCTTGAAACAAAGCCATGCGTGTCCTGCCGGACGTGCGGAAGAGGTTTGCGCTCCAACCCCCGCCCGCTTCGGTGCTGTAATTGTCGATGCCCCATTGAATTTTGTAGCGCGGAGACAGACAAACTAAAACAAAAGTGCTAGAAGTTTCAACAACATGCCAACAAACATATTGAAGCAACAACTCCAAACTGGGGCATCGAGCACTTTCACTCTATAACCAAAACAGTAATAACATGTAACTTTCATATATATTATACACGATATAGAAAAGCACACGAATGTTCAAGTCCACAAAACTGTGTCACGTAACGGGGGATCCCTTTATGTCTCGAAACGGATCCAACCATCCGATGATCCAACCGTCGCCTTCCCAGATCCGATTTCAAAACATGCAGAGCGCGCTCTGCGCTGAGGGCTCTGCTTGGGGCTTGAGCAGAAAAAGACCCGCTGTCGCTGGCGCTGCGAACTTCTGAACCTGCAAATCCCAAAGAAAACCGGAGATGAACCAGTGATTCGGAGACCTCGCCTTCCATGTCACGCAGGTCTCATCTTGCACTTTGCTCGCGTGGCATCCCATTGAGAGGTCGATGCGGTGCTAGACGGTGCGGGACGCGTACGTTTGAGTCCGAAATGGCCCTCAAGGCAGGCAGCGACAGCAGATGAAGAGTCGTGTTTAGATTTAGACATGTCCTGTATACTATAGATTGTGTTTTTATTTACGTGCTTGTAAATATTTGCATCTTTGTTTGTAAACAAGACATTCCTCCTTCAACCCGAAGGAGGTCGAACAGCACATGGTGAAAACCATGGAAGGGATCACTAGGGGCCACTGGTTCCTTACCAGCTGAGCAATCTCGAAAGAACATCACTATACGTAATTTCTTTAGTAATTAATTATAGTATATAATTTATGTAATTAACTACAATACTATCAATATCCATCAAGATACCAAGGGACTTGGTTTAGGTTGGTGAAGGCACGTATTACAACCTCCTTACTTTATATGAATGACATTTGTACCCTAACCCAATGTCTTTCTTGCCATGACAACGCCCCAGCTTTGGAGCGGAATCGGTTCTCAGATCGCTGGCACTGTCCGGCTGTTCGGTTCAAAACCCTCCGATTCTTGACATGATTTCACAAACACCTGGAAACACCACCTCAGCTTTGGAGTTGGAATCGCTTTGGTCAAAGTACTGAAATTCTGTCTCGGACCGGAATATATGCCTACCGCAGACACTCCAAGGACTTGGAATAGCTAACATTGAGTCCGCTTTCACCACCCTGACCGAGAAACTCGGCAAGGATACCACTCCCAAATCTGTCGTGTCTGGGAATGATCATCCGACCAGGACTGCCTCTCTCCAAGGAGCTCCAACGAAACGCACACACGAAGGAAGCACCAAGGTTGACACGCAGCACCGCCCCATGGCAGGGTCGAGCCGGTGGAGGTATATCCAGTGTGCCCGCTTGAAGCCATACCTGGATGTTCGAACTATGTATGATTCTTAAAAACAGGCAAAAGGCAAACATGTTGCATAGTTGGAAGATTTAGGTAATTATTTACCTAGAACCCAGACATGACCCCTGTGTGATCGGAAAAGACGATGTCTTGGCTCCAAACAGGGGTCTGTTCTAGGTAGGTTCTACCTAGAACCTCGTTAGACAAAAAAGACAACTGCCTAACTTCACTAGGCAAATAATTCCGCCCATTTTCACAAGAGCGGCTAAGCTGCCAGCCTCGAGGGTCCAAAACGCCGAGGCACAATAAAAATACATGCTTGCATGCCTAGCGATCCAGTCGTACCTTCTCAGAAGGCACTTGGCACTTGGACCCTCCAAATCTACATAACAGATATAACAGTGTCTCCAATCACCTGAGAAGGTACTTGCTTTTGATGTCACCATGAGGCTAGTGCCCGCTCTAAAGTATTTGAAACTATATTTGAAACTCATGTCACTCACTCCCCCCCAAAAGGCTACCACTCCTTTGTCCACCCAACTGCTGCTTGTAGTGAGGAACGCCTACGTCACGCGCCAGAATGCCCTACCGTGACGGCAAGAACACCTAGACCTACAAGTACAACAACACCTCTTGGATTTGTGGCTCCCAGGAGCCACGGAAAACAGAGACAAAACTCATCAAAACTCTTCTCCATGCTCACGGATTCAACCCGAATATCCGCCCAACCAGGGCAGAGGCGACCGTGAACCCAGGCATCGACTGGTGCCTACAGTTCCTGGTGCCTGTCCAGTTCAATAGTCCTCCAATCACCGTATCTCTCAGGTTCGGTATGTGGATCCATAGGGTCTATGGCAAGAGTGAAACAATGGGAATACGACGTTTGTTGATGTTCTTTTGTTGGAAGATCTAGCGTTCCAGAAGATCCGGAACTCCATTCACTCTGACCAACGCACTCTAACGCTCGAACAGCTCACTCTCGCAGACGAGGATGCTCAGCCTTTTTGCGAGATTCTGCTCTGATTCAGTGCCAAGGTTCCTTCGTAGCTCTGGTTTCCCGACGAACGTGCAGTCATGGGATGGCAACCATGGCAACCCAAGCAAGAACTTAGGACAGCGCCTTTGACGTGGCAAACATTATCAACAAATGGTTGGGACTTTGTCAGGAATCCACACTGCACGAGCGCAAGCCGCTCAAGCTGAGCAAGTGGAGATTCCTGCAAAACTAGAGCAACTGCCAGTCCAGTGCACCGTGCACCTCTTTAGTCATTTAAGGCAAGTCCAATGGGGACAACAAAAACGTTTTGGAATCCCACAGAACATGAAACCTTCCAATCTGATTTCTTGCCCAGGACGGGCCATGAAATGCAGGGGCGAGCAGTCTTGTGGTGTTACCCATGCGAAAGTTCATGGGTAACACCAACACCTTCCAGCTTCATTTCTTCTATATTTATGATCCAAACGAAAGACACCTAGCAACTAGCCCATCAGAGACCAGCCAAAGGCCATCTGTGTTTTTTCCTCTAGTTGTTTGAAAGCCAAGGCTTCAAGTGAGCCTCGCTTCTCATAGTACAGAGTAAAGATCACATTTTATCAAACACAAGCACTGCAAATGTGTGCCCTCGGTATTTCACCAGTAAGACAATCCAGCACACATACAACAGCCACTGTCCAGAAGACGTCTACTCTCTCTCTCTCTCTATATTGCCCATAATAAGTGTTATGATTCATATGATTCTCACATCAGGCTGGAGTAGTATTAATGTTTGCCTCTTTGGTGCTGCAGGAAGCTGTACTGTTCTTTGATAGTTCTTCAAAGTGAGCGAGAGAACGGAACACATACGGCTGGCAAACTAGTTTGGCCACAAACATGGTGGGTGAAGAGCACGCGCTCAACAAATATCAACAAATACAATGTATCAAGCGGACTCACATGGATGTCGACTTCACAAAATGGGTAGTCATGCATCGGGTCAGTCTGAAAACATCTACCCTGGGAGTCAAAGACTATAAAAAGAATGGTCTTTAGGGGACCTGAAAGGGAACTTCCTTTACTTCAGCCGGTCAAAATATAGTCTTTGGACTTCTAGGGTCTATAGTTATATATATATAGCAATGATGTGACCCAATCCATTGTGTCCAACAATCTTAAAAGAAAGAGCAGGATGGTGGAATTGGGGGGGACGGATAGTTTCACTCGTTCGATGGAAGGATCAGCTCGGTCCGAGTCCACCTGTTGGACTGATCCACCGATGTCCACTGATGTCTTGAGTGGGTCCCCCGATCGGACCCGTGTGCATATGGCCATCTCCTCTTTAAAAGGAAGACGAATCAGTACATCTATGTACATCTGACCATCATTGAGGTGGGACAAAACCACAAAGACTAAATTGTTCGAAGTTGTACTACACCATATACTAGCACAACATCCTTCTACAAAGAATCCCCTGGAACAACATCTGTAAAAACACATACCAGGGCCCCTAGGCCATGGGATTCATGGATACCCCTCTAAGGAGCTATACTTAGACACCCCTGGACTGGGCCCTGGTAGGTATCAAGCTACTACATGGTTTCTTTGGGTCGATCCCCTTTGGATGGAGATCGCTGGCAGTTGTCCAGCCTCTGTGTACAGCACAGGCCGGCAGACCGTCTAAACGGTCGACCGCGGCGCGATCGGAGGACATTGCCGCCGCGACTTGGGTGGCGACGCCGTAGGTGGACGTGATGCCAGCTTCCAATCTGGGAAAAACAAAAACATACCTGGACCTTCAAGGGGTGTCCAATGGAGGTCCCTTAGTGGTGTAGGGGCTTCCATTGGTGACCCTTTGAAGGCGCTGGTACACGTTCGAAACAACAGAACGGGAATAGTGGTTCTTATTTCCAAGTGCTCTCTGAAAAAGAAGCAATTTTAAGCAATTTTAACACCCAACATCTCCGGGAAAGAACCCACCCATTCGGGAGAGTCTGATTCTCTTATTGGATCTCCATCGTTTCCTGCGGATTCATGGCTGACAGCGAGGCCCCCCGAATACCTGCCGGCAACCTCCTCGCTCGAAACGAGCGCGGTTTGGGCGTGGAGAAGGAACGCGGGCGGATGCGTTGGGCGCGGGCGGATAGGCTTCAACAGAGGTTCAGTGACCTTAAATAGGACCTTACTGGGGTACCTATAGAATAGCCTATAGGGTTCTTCATCCTTTGCTGGTACTGGGAATTGAAGTACGGCGAACCGTGCCTTGTCGACCTATATATGAGTTGAAGAGCTGAACATGCATCCGAGTACGAGCTATATCAGCGAGTACATACATCCGAGTGGTTCCAAAAAAGAGCGGCTCGAGATGCTTGGAGTTGTTTTCCCTATACTCTCCCTGCAACGAACATGGTGGAAGTGGATGGCACCCCCCTGCTGCAACTGGGATTCGGATTCCATGGTCGGACCCTTTCGGACCCATTCTCCACGTAACCACCATGGCCATGTTAGTTCTAGGGAGTGTAATAGAATTGTTCGACCTTCCGCTTTCTTTCTCCATGGCCATGCCTTCTCAACCCCTTCTGGAAGGCGCCATACAAATGCACACGACGCGTCGGACGCCGGACGCTTCCGTCGCGCGGTCGGACGGACTTAAAATCACGAGGTGGCCGGTGTTTTCTACCGACCGAACTCGATTTGGGTCTCAAAGTCGTGGCAACACCATGCGAGCTGGCAAGCTGCATGACATGTCATAAATGGGGTAAATGATGGTACCCAGAGACTCCATGTATGCCATATATGCCTACATTGACCCCCAAAACCACCCCAACTGATCGGCATATATGGGAGTCCCAGGAAAATCGTGTCTTCATGTGGTGTGCTCATCCAAACACACACGCACACATGCACGCACATCTTGGCACGGTTTTGGCAGGCGTTCAGGTCGTCGTCCCGAAGGGTCCCCCAGTGCGACAGATGGGTTGCTAGCAGCTCCTGCGCTGGAGCGTGCTACTAGTACATACTAGTACTGGGAGCGCTACTAGTAACGTCCGAACGCGCCGGTGGTGATGCGAAGGTTCCGAACTCGTTTAGCGTCCTTTGGGTGGTTGCAGGATTGTACCAGGTTCTCGAGTCCCGGAGGGAAGTGGGAGGAAGAGGAAGTCAGGCACTCCCGACGTCCACATCTCAATAAAACTCCCGGTACTGTCGCCCCGACTGACATGGAACTCCCGGTACTTTGGATTCAATCAGAAACATTCAGCAAGAGACCTTATAGGCAAGAGACTATATAGACTATAGCTGTGATGTTGTACCCAAACGCTCCGTTCACAGCCCCTTGATCCCTCAAAACCGGTTTGAGACCCCAAACCGAACCCCTCCATCTGAGGATCCGAGCACCCTGTGAGGGTCCATGGTCGCGGCTGGGTAGAACTGGCTGGGTCCCGCTGCACCACTTCCAACAACTCCAACGCCCTAACAATCCATGGGACTCGACCATACATTACCCAAATGACCCACATTGACCCTTAGAATCATCTAAAACCTAGGAAAACACCCTATCCTCCAATAGGCCCTTTGTGACTTTTGGTTTTATATGGTGTAAGTAATTATATACACGGCTCTCACATTCTCTCATCCAGTTCATTGCCTCAATCCAAGTCTGGATAAGTAAAAAATGCTAGATCCAAATCCCAGTCTTTGAGCCTCCCAGTCGAAGGATTGGGTCCTAACAGTGTTAGGGTTTGGGGGCTGGGCCCGGACCTCGGATCCTCTTCAGGAGCCACTCACCCAGACGCTCCCAGCAGGCCTTGGCCTTGGGCCCTCAAAACCATAGATTTGAGATACCAGACCCCTCCAAACGATTCGGGTCCGACCTCTGCGTAGGTTCGAGTCCAGGGTCGCGTCTGGGCAAGTCTTAAAACACCTGCCACGAAAAGCACCGCATCTCGGCGCCAGCGATGTGTGTTCCACATCGCCCGCATTGCTTGGACGCGCGCGCCGCGCCTGCGGCCGACGGTGGGATCCCCAGATGCATATCTGTTGGGTGTTTTTCTTTGCATCAGTTCTCGGTACGGGCCAAAGAGTCGCAAAACACTCTGAACGAACCCCCAAAAAATGAAAGCAACTTCCAAATGCTCGAGACTTGCAAACTTATAGAAACTCAGTCAGGATAACCACTTTCAAGGGGGCCACTATGATCGCAAGCAATTCTGGTACTCTCTGCTCTACTATACAAATATCATCAAATATCATCAAATCTCTATCTGACTCTATCTACAAATCCTCTCTGTCCACCCCTTCAAATTGACCAGGCAATTTCTCCAGCACCCCAAAGCATGCTTCTCCCAGACTTGATCAACGTCGTCAGTCGTTCCGAAGCGCTGCGGGGTTTTCCCTTCCCATCTTCCCGGCCCCAAACTGCCCAGCCGGGCCCGGGCCTGAACTCAGAGCTCCACCGAAATCACCGCCGGTAGAGTGCCGCCCAGCTGCTTTGGTCTCCGATCCTTCCAGGTAGGCTCAGGCGTGCGCAAGCCGATCGCTCGGTGCGGATCGTCTCTGGAGCGCTTCCGCAGGACGCGCTGGAGCAGCTTGGAGGAGTTGGCCTCCGCGGACGCGGAGCTCTGAGGGATGATGGAAGCGACCCGAACTCCTATGCATGGAGGGATCGGAATTGGGACTGGAGAGGTCTAGGGTGTCTCACCAATCGGTTTTGAGGGAGGTTGGAGGCCATCGCTATTAGGTTGGAGGCCATCGCCATTAGTAAGGTTGGAGGCCATCGCTATTAGGTTGGAGGCCGTCACTCTTAGGTTCATTAAAGTCTTTAGCTTTTCTTAAAAACTATTCACATCTATTCACCAAATTTCATGGAGCTTCTGGGTTTGCCCTTTGTTTCATACGTTGCAGTGCTGTGAAGTGAGGTGAATTTGACGCGGCGGGTTCTGCAGGAGAGGTATGTTTCGTTCCAAACCGTTGGATCTGATTGCCTCCGATGTCTTCAAGAGGCATAGCTTTGGATGTGTAGCGTCATTGCTTTTGGTTTTGCCCTGTTCATTTTTGATTCGATCTTGTTGGCAAGTGGGGGGATGGGAAGGTTGAAAAGTGATCCTTGCCCCAATCCCGGTAGGCTGATTGCAATGGGTCTCCCAGGTGCTTGGACTTGATATCCAATCATCATGGAAGTGAAGATCACCACCTGTTTGGTATTCAGAAAATGGTCATGCGATGGGTCATGACTTTATAAGGCTTACGCCAGACAGAGGGAAACCAGCCGGTATGAAGGGAAGAGGAAGAGGTTGTTTGTTGTTCATCTACTTCCTCTCCACTTTTGCGTGAGCAATTGGCTTCGCTGGATGGTCACTACCACACGAAAGTGTGCGCAACTTCACGCTGTGCGACAGTCAACAGTCAACTCGCGTGCTCTCTCTCTCTCTCTCTGTCTCTCTCTCTCTCTCTCTCTTTCTCCCTATCTCTCTCTCTCTCTCTGCCTCTCTGTCTCTGTCTCTCTCTGTTTCCCTCGTTCTCTCTCTCTCTCTCTCTCTGTCTCTTTTTTTTTTGTTGTTTGGTCTTGCTCCGTTCTCGTTCTCTTTTTTTTGTTCTTTCTCTTCCTCTTTCTCTGTCTCTTCCGAGCACGAAGCAAACACACAGTCACAAAATGCTAACAACGCTGCAAATCCGCTGGAACAGCATATCTCGCACCAGGGGCCTTAGAAAACCACATGAAACAAAACTCTAAACATATCTAAACACATGTAAACAAGAAAACGGGTGGCCTGTCAATGATTGTATGATTGAAACACATCAAGTCCATAAACCACATGTTGTGAAGTTGGCTATGCGAGGACGGAGACAAAATAGTTGCATTTGTCCGACGGACATATGTGGAGGTTATCTGGTCTAATCGATAGATCGATTTGAGACGTTCCAGGTGACTCAGCAAAGCGTGTCTCACAAAAAAACTCTACACTATGAGACTCAGACCAAATGACTCTACATCCCTGCAAACTGACATTGTACGGACCGTGAAAATGCACCCCATGTAAGGCAAATTATTCTCATCTACAGTGCCACCCATTGGTGTTCAGATGTTTTCAGAAGTCCTTCTGAGTCGGGTCTTGTCTCTTCCCGCCCACAAAAAATACCTCTCCATCCGTTCCGCCTCTGCGGTCGCCTCCGCCGTGAGGAATTTCTTCACCTTCGCCACGTGGCGCTCCTGGGCTCGTGTGACGGTGATGGTGTCGGGCGGAGGACAAGACTAGGACCAGGACCCTTACAGGAAGGATCTAGGGAAAAACATACATATTCCATCATATTCCCATGCCAGGGGATTCATCCATAGTAATGGAAAAGCACAAATCAAGCAACACCAGGAGGACATTGGAGGACACGACGCACATGTGCGTCGCGTCAGCTGTCAACGTGTTGGAGCAACGCCTAGCAGCGCCAGAGGCGCATTAAACACTGCGCCAAGGCAAGCCATGCGGCACTGCACCAAGTTCTTGGCCCTACGGGTCCAGGAGCATCCGAATCGGAGATCGTCCCAGGCACCATTCGAAATGGTTTCCGTACGCATCTCCGTTCGACCCTATGAAGTACGTCTTCTTTTGGGGGTGGGTATAATTCATGAATTCAGGTGGACAGACTCACCCATGTTGGGCTCCAACGTACTTGCTCCCACGATCTCCGATCGATGGAACGGGATGGACCTGCTCGGTGGACCCTGCGATCTCCGAGCTGGGACGTCTGGTGGATCCTCCCGGTGCTCTGGATTCCCCGGTGAGGTCGGGCCTTCCGGGGCCGGAGAGATCCGAATCGAAGAATCGCTGCGAACGCCGCGCCGATTCTTCGGCGTATGGACCTCGAAGGACCGAACCCACGCCCCTCATTTGGAACAACGAACATCTTCGGAGTAGAACAATGCCTTAACTGTGCAAAGTATGCCTTCAATAGCTAGCCTTAGGATTCTATCTTTCGTGAAGCGACGGACATGAAGGCTCCAAGCATGTCATTCGTTTGGACTAAGCCCAAGAACACCCCCAAGCGCCGCCTCGTCCGGACCGCCCACACCGGGTCTCGTCCGTCCGGTCTCGTCCGTCCGTGGCCGAGCAGCATGGGTCGTCCGGACCGGTGGATGGGAGTGCGAGTCCCCAAAGTCCATCTCCAAGACCTCCATGGAGTGGAAGCCTCGGACGAACTGGCAGGTGGGCACCCACGAGCCCACCTGCCGCCTGGATTCCACGGCACCCGCGCGACGAGTTCGCGAACTCACCCTGCTAGCTTGACCGTGTCGAGTGTAACTCTATTCTGTTCCTTTTTCTGTGCGAACCACTCGCCGCGTCGCCGAGTGTTTGACCCGCACCCAACTCTGAAACCAGGAGAAACGCGCTGCGTTTTACGCGGCTTAAAAGGTCACGGAGAGCGAGAATGTCCTACAGGAGAATGAAACCATGCAGGAGAAGAGGTCGACTTCGCAATCTTAAGAGGTCGACTTACTAGTGGACTGTTGACGATGAATTGTTGCAACAACATCACCAATCTATATAAGGGAGAGAGATCCGCGCCCTTCCACAGGGCGCTATTGTAGGCGCCGCAATCCGGTTTTCAGTGGACGAATTGGCAAACTTTGCTGAGCTTCTTTTCAACGGGTGCTCTAAGCACTTGTCGACATGGGAGTTCGCCTTGTAGAGTGTTTTGTGTCTCTCTCTTATTTCTCACTTGATCTTCATTTGCTGCTGGTGATCCATGAGTGTTCACAGTTGCGTTTCAAGAACTCCCAACAGGGGAAGCGTGGATGGGAGGTCCGGAACGAGAGGGGTAGAAGAGGTTTTACAATTCACCATGGAGCATATTCAAGAGTCCACGGTCTACCGGCGATGCTCGAGGAAATGAGAGGCGAAGGGCCAAACGAGACCGGGGTGCAGGGTGAGATGACCATGCTCGACCAGCCAAAGCTTGAGTAGAAGGACAAGCTGGGTTGCTCCAGCCGGGTTCAGATACCCAGGCCCCGGACCATGGCGGAGGCATATCAAATACGATCAGAATCACCCATATGAAGGAACTCAACAATCCATGTTTCTACACGAGAGTTTCGGAACGCCGCTGGTTCGTGGGCCTCACCACCATGAACTCCACTGCAAGTCACGAACCGTGGGTACTCCTGGGCAAAGAAGGTACTATATACCCATATACGACCGGGAAAACCCTCTATTCATCAAGCAACCAATCCCAAACACTGCTCCATGTATGTGGACAAACAAGTATATATACTTACTAACATTGACCCCTCAAACCATCCATAGTTGTCCAAAATAGGGTGACATATAGGTCAACCAGGACCTTCAAAGTGACCTTTTGAGATCCCAGTTTGAGGTCACTTAGTCCATAAAGAGGTCACTTACAGACTCCAAAGAGGTCACTTTGAAGGTCCTGGAATATGTTGCACATGCCAGGCAGCTGTCGCGCGGTTCTGAGAAGCCCACCGACACCTCGCGTTGCCAATTCCTCGACCCACCGGCTGCCAACCCGGTGTACCGGCCAACCCAGCGGTGTCTGACAATTGAACTTCATGCCTTCTGAAAATCGACCTGGAAACTCACCACCCAAAGGCCTAAGAGTCCGGCCTGTCCTGTACCAAACAGGGACTGGGACGTCACTTCAGTAGACCCACAACCAGGCCCAGACGACGAGAGGACTCAACGTGCACCCGACGTCGACGTGGACGATTCTCAGTTCTCTCATGGAAATCAGTCAGCACGAAGCACGAAGGAAGGGCTCCTCGCACACGGCGTGCATCCTACAAAACGATATATATGTTACCTACCAATGCGTATAATCCTTGGAGGCCAAGCAAACATCAAATGACTCAAATCCTCCTGATGCCGATTTTAATCATGATCCTTGCCTGGAATCTCCTGGTGGGTCCTAGAGTTGTTCTTTCCATGTGCAAGATTGTATGTCTTTTTAACTGCACCTTTGTAGTGCATGTGTACGTACGGTAGTTCACGGCCAGGACAATAATTGTTGTCCAAAATGCTAAAAGCCTTCTTTCAAGATCTGGGAAGACAATCTGTTTCCATAGGGTGTAGCAGGTATAAATCTATATAGATTAGATGTAGGTTCCCACTTCTCCCTGAACTAAATCACTCGAATCCCACGTTCTCTCCTATCCCATCCTATCTCATCAAATGTGCTTCCCACACCAGAAAGCCTTTCTTCCCACCCGAAACATCAACCCATGCAGACACGACACATGGGACTGCCATAGGACTGCCGCCCCAAACAGACCCCCGACTTCAACCACCCCAATGTAGACGGCACAAATGGCAGTCCCATTGGTTGTGTTTGGGTAAACCAACCCCTAGGGCTCCTGCACCTCCGTTTCGAAGGTGGTTGGGGTGGGTGCCAGGAGGGTAACCACCGAACTTGAGGATATGGGCCAGGAGCCCTAGTGCACCCCCGGCTTAGTCTAAGGTGTGCTGTCCGAGCTTCAAACGCTAGGTTCCTAAATGGTGCATTTAGTGGTATTGGAACCACTGTGAGTTCAAATGGGTGTGAATGCAGCTTCAGCGTCTTGACATCCTCCACCGACATCAACATATGTCCTCAAAACCCACCCAAAGAGATGTTTGATGCATTTTGATACAAACTGTCAATTCTTTTTCGGCGTACCGCGCCGAGCGTCGAGCCGTCGTTCCAGGACACCGAGGTGACTTCCAGGTCGTTCTCACGGCTCGTTTGGCAGCCCATGGCGGCGATTTGCGTCGCTATTTGAAGCTACTATAGGTTGGAGGCCAATGCTAGGTGTGAGGCCATCCCAAGTAGGTTTGGAGGCCATTGTACTAGTAGCAAGAAGCTACTAGGAACCGGAACCTGAGGTTGGGAGCTTCTGAAAGGAGCTGGTCGGCCAAATGCATCCTGGTTGACCTCAAATGAACAAGACGTGGACTGATCTGAATGATGGCCATGACATGTCTTTACCCATCTCCGTCGACTTCAAAAACTACGAACCAGCAACCGCGACGTAAGAAGTGCCATGGGGACTTGCGACAAACGTGAGAACTAAAGGATGATGATAGGAGCATGTGTGCAATCATATTGCAACAAGAGTTAGACCATTTTCGACCCAAGCTCTGGTCAAGAATTCTTATGAATTCTTCATTGTTTCGGGTACAAGGTTTGGACCTTTTAGGTAGATATACACGGTGCGAGTGGATCTTAATCAGCGAAGTTTGAAGCTATCACTGACGGTCCATAAGCGGCGTAGCGTCGGAACGGAAACCGCACCTTTTCTAGTCGCTTGATCCTTGAGCCAAAGTACATATGGTACATATATATGTACAAGTTGCACTGTACGTGTCGCTGCACTTCCATTCGCACCCCCCATGTGAACGGCAACAATATGTTCCGATCACACACGAAAATTTAGGGATGTAAGTGCTATAAAGAAATTGTATGATTTGCCGCGAGACTCATATGAGGCTCATACTACGAAACATGCTGGACTAAAGCGGACTTTTACATATAAAGTGTGCAACTATGGCTCAGAACCTTTGAAAAATCGAATTGAACAAGTGAGACAGTCACGAGGCCTCGCTCAGTATCCACTCAAAAGAGCATCGCTTTGATGTAGATCCGAACTGGTGACTTCCACGTAGATGTCACATTGGCAACTGACTTCACACTCCTCAAAAGATGTAGGTTTTGGTTTGGATACACTTACAGAACGGCAAGTCGGAGAGACAGTCGGTGATTGTCTTCCTTCCATTATGCTCATGGTATCAAATCAGATTGACGATTTGCAATGATACACTTACAGCGTTTCAGGTCAGATAGACATCCGGTGAATGACTTCCTCCCTGGTTTGCATGGTATCCTCATAGTCGTTCAAAGAAATCACCACTGGTGATAACCTCTCCATCCACGATGATCCCAGCTGCCCTGAGCATCCCACCGATCATCTTCTCCCTTCTTGGACTTTCCCTTGGACTTGCTCTTTCCCTTCCCCTTTTCAGAAGGTTGAGGTACTTCGCGACGTTCTTGCGTTAGCGCCGGCCTCCAAGATGTTCCAGATTGGCCTCCTCCTTTGGAATGTCCTCGGGATGATGAAGAAGTTGTACCTTCTGTTGCATGTGCGTTGGCGGCAAGATCTTCCTGCAAAGCTTGCTCAAACACACCGGTAGCACTGGATGGTGATTTATCATGTGGTCTGGCTTTTGGAGCAGCCTTCGCCTTGTTCTCATCTGCTGATGAGGGCCCGAAACTCTTAGGTGCTGTTGAAGGTTTTGGCTCCTCACTTGGTGCTGACGACGGCTTGGCCTCGGTTCTGGGTGTAGATGCTGGCTTTGCCTCAGCTCTTGACGAAGATGCTGCTTTCGCTTCAGACTTAGTCGTTGATGTTGACTTAGCTGTTGCCTTGGCTGCCTGCTTCTTCTTGCCCTGAATCTCCTTGGCCCTATCTCCAAAGCCTAGACGATTGGTAAGAGCTTGAACATGCTTATGTTCTACCACGCTCATCCATCTCTCTGTATGTCCAACGTTGGGGTTTCTGGCCATTGACTCTATGACTTCCTGAGCTTGTGGGGGCAACCTGATTTCATGTTGATCAATGATCAACAGAATAGACTTCTCCCACTTGCTCTTCATTCTCGAGTACATGATGTCCAGAGGATCGATCACCTTGTGGTAGGGTGATGTAATGTCGGTTCTAAAGTAAGAATATGTCCGACACCCATAAATCGCATGGATGCACTTCTGTACCAATTCAGTCATTGCGCTGGCTTTCTTCGCTTTCAACTCCTCAAGCTGGGCATCAGTCAAGTTGGTGGAGTATTCGAAGTTGCCATATTCCTCCTTGAAGGATTGCGGAGTATGACCAAATGATAGGATCACGAGTGCCACCTTGCAAATGAATTGCTCTCCTCTGAATCGGTGCCAGGCCTCCTCAGTTGTAATATTGTTGTCGTTGGCAAAGATTAACATCATGTCATCTGTTGGATCCAATGGTCTCCCATCGTCATCGATTTCAGTGGAATCCCCTGTACCGAACTTGCTTATCACATCCAGGCGCTTCCTTTTCCAATTTGCTTTGAAGTCGGTAAGGCTGGTGCAATAGTAGCTCTTGTACATCAGGGAGATCATGTTCAGCACACATTTGACCACATACCTATCCATCAAACCCGATGCATTCATGGAGACGTCCTGACAGTAGGCTCTCTCTTGATGCGCATAGATTCGAGGTTCCGGTACCCGACAATAGATGGGGAGATCTTCGTTGTCTCTTCCTTCTTCGGGATTGAACTCGGTCGCTCCATGCTGTGCATAGTATCCCGGTTCATCACGATCTGTCGGTCGATTCGCCTCCGGATGTAAGTCGTCGGTGACGTCTTCATCCTCGGGCTCACCATCTTGACGTTTCTTCCCCTCATATTGTTGTGTGCTCCTCTGGATCTCGATGATCACGTTTCGTTCGTCTTCATCTTCTAGATCAGAATCACGACCGTAGTCGATCTCGTCCTCATTGAAAGATGGGGTCTCGACATTGTCACTCTTGAAGTTCTCTGCACCATCAGACGGTTTGGAAGGATCTGGATTGTCCATGTCCTCGTCGTCATCAGCTGCTTCAGTTTGAGCGATGTCTTCTTCCCAAGCCTTTCTGATCTCGTCCATAGTGGCCTGGTCCAATATATCTTGATCATCATGTTCAGGCTCCCTCTTTTCCTTCTTTTCCTCTTCATCGTCGCTCACAAGATCAACGGGTGAATCGGAAATGACAGTGTTGCGAATACCACACGAGAGTAGCCTGCCTTGACAAGATAGACACACGGACAAAGATGAAGAAGTCAAATGCATACATGATGGACACAAAATATTGCCATCCACGTTGCGATACCCTTCACATGTTCTGGAGATGATTTCGTCCCAAGTTTCCTCACTGATGGAATCCTCGATCAGCTCTCCATTGTCATCGAATCGTACTTCATCGATAAGGGACACGAGCTTTTGGACGTTGTCATCTGTCGCCGAGGCTGACTTCGTGACTTCGTCGGCTCTCTCGAGGATGGTATGCTTCTGACCAACCCAAAGTCCATGACGTGCCGCTAGAACAACTTGCTCTCCAGTGCTTCCCAGCAGGAGTCTCCTCCATGCCTGAACGTGGTCGTCCCAATACCAAGCACCTCGTACACATCTCCATGGAACTTCTCTAAAAACAACAGTGTAGGAATTCTCCGAAATTCTTCCCCCAAGCTTCCTCAAAGTCATGATTGGAACATAAAGGCAAACAGGCATTCCCACTCTTGGCCATCTTGATCTCAGAATCTTTGATGATCGATCATCCCACGGCGCAAAGTGGTTGAAGAAAACACTACCTCTATATCCCTCCGTTCCACCAGGGACAATTCCTAGTTTCATGATTGACTCGATATTGGAAAGCGATGTCATGTGAAAGCTTCCTCCAAGCTGCATTGCCACATTCTCTGGAATGAGATGTGAAGTCCACACAGGATATATTGACACATCCTCTTCAAGAACAGTCTCTCTTCCAGAATTGTGAGAGGCAACAGCTCGAATTGCACAAGGAACGATCCAACGTTCATGCTTCAGAAATGACGGTGCGTCTGTGCTGTAAAACATGAGGTTTGCCCAGTATTGCCTTTCCTCTTCGACTGAGACATCCTCCTTTGAGATGCGAATGGCGGCAATCTGATAGCGTACTCTGTTCTGCAACTTCTTTGCATGCCACATCGCCTTGCATAAATACTGGTATCGCTCTGTCTTGACATCTTGACGATGCCGATCACCTGAGATAGTACTGATATCGACACCATCGTTGAAGACATAGTCATATTCCAGGATCTCATCGATGTTCACCCATCCACCCTCATTGCACTTCGGGGACACATGAGGTTTTCGACCGCGGTGCGATTGAATCCCATTATGCTTTCCCACTCCATGCCTGAGTAGTCTATTGAGTCTATGGCTAACCTCGTTGACCCTCTGACTCTCCTCGCTGAACTTGTCGATGCGAGTTGCTGGGTTCATCTTTGGTGGATCCGTGAAAGTTGCATCTCTCTTCGGTCCATTCCAGTACTCCACATAGAATGTAACTCCGTACTGTGGAATGATCTCGATGCTTCCTCTATCGCAAGTCACCTCAATCTGCCGATATCCAACCTTTTGAACTTGTTGTGGGTCAGGAGCAAGGTCCTTCACTTTGGGCATCTTTATTCCGAGTGCTGCAGCCTCCTGAATAAGTGCATCAAGTTCCCACTTTCCATTAGGACCTGATCTATCAACCCTGTGATTTGCGACCCTGTACTCTCCTCCTTCTTTGTCATCGGCAATGTCAAGGAGGTCGACGGGCTCTTTGAATCTGGTGACGAAACTGGCGTTCCCAAAGGCCTTCTTGGTTGCCTCGACCGCTTTCGCGTATTCCTCTTTTGCAGAGTCTGACGATTGTGGTCTACCTTTGGCTCTCGGAGAGTGAGGTGGTACCTTACCTCCTAGTTCCGGCTCTTCTTCGGGAAGTTCAATATCTTCATCATCCACATCCATGTAGTCTTCGTCTTCGACGTCTTTGGATGACTTTGCTTTCCTCTTTCGGCTTTCAACATCACGTCGGATGATTGCCTTGTCGTCCTCGGTAAAGCACTTGCGCATAGTTTCCTCCATGTAAGAGAATGAGTTCATCAACTCGTCCTTCTTCTCAGTGTTGGGACACATAGCCAGGTGATGTTGGTTTGAACCACAACAATAGCACACCTTTTGGCTCACTGCGCGTGCTCTGACC